ACACGGCTTCTCCACCCCATCTCTCGACACGGCTTCTCCACCCCATCTCTCGATATGGCTTCTCCACCCCGTCTCTCGACACGGCTTCTCCACCCCATCTCTCGACACGGCTTCTCCACCCCGTCTCGACACGGCTTCTCCACCCTCTCTCTCAATATAGCTTCTCTGAACAACGTCTCGACACGGCTTCTCCACCCCATCTCTCGATACGGCTTCTCCACGCCCCGTCTCGATATAACTTCTGAACAACGTCTCGACACGGCTTCGATATGGCTTCTCCACCCCATCTCTCGATATGGCTTCTCCACCCCGTCTCTCGACACGGCTTCTCCAGCCCGTCTCTCGACACGGCTTCTCCACCCCATCTCTCGATATGGCTTCTCCACCCCATCTCTCGATACGGCTTCCACCCCATCTCTCGACACGGCTTCTCCACCCCATCTCTCGATGTGGCTTCTCCACCCCATCTCTCGATATGGCTTCTCCACCCCATCTCGACACGGCTTCTCCACCCCATCTCTCGATATGGCTTTCCCCATCTCTCGATATGGCTTCTCCACCCCATCTCTCGACACGGCTTCTCCACCCCATCTCTCGACACGGCTTCTCCACCCCATCTCTCGACACGGCTTCTCCACCCCGTCTCTCAATATAACTTCTGAACAACGTCTCTCGACACGGCTTCTCCACCCCATCTCTCGATATGGCTTCTCCACCCCGTCTCTCGATATAACTTCTGAACAACGTCTCTCGACACGGCTTCTCCACCCCGTCTGTCGATGCGGTTTCTCCATCCATCTCGATATAACTTCGAAACAACGTCTCTCGACTCGACTTCTCCACCCCGTCTCTCGACACGGTTTTTCCAGCCCGTCTCTCGACACGGCTTCTCCATCCCATCCCATGGCTTCTCGACCCCATGGCTTCTCCGCCCATCTCTCGATATGGCTTCTCCACCCCCGTCTCTCGACACGGCTTCTCCACCCCATCTCTCGATACGGCTTCTCCACCCCATCTCTCGACATGGCTTCTCCACCCCATCTCTCGACACGGCTTCTCCACCCCATCTCTCGATACGGCTTCTCCACCCCATCTCTCGATATAACTTCTGAACAACTTCTCTCGACACGGCTTCTCCACCCCATCTCTCGACACGGCTTCTCCACCCCATCTCTCGATATGGCTTCTCCACCCCGTCTCTCGACACGGCTTCTCCACCCCGTCTCTCGATATAACTTCTGAACAACGTCTCTCGACACGGCTTCTCCACCCCGTCTCTCGATGCGGCTTCTCCGTCCCATCTCTCGATGCGGCTTCACCCCATCTCTCGATACGGCTTCTCCACCCCACCTCTCGATATGGTTTCTCCACCCCATCTCTCGACAGGACTTTATCCACCCCGTTTCTCGATACGGCTTCTCCACCCCGTCTCTCGATATGGCTTCTCCACCCCATCTCCCGATATGGCTTCTCCGCACCGTCTCTTGATATGGCTAACTATTTTTTTAAATACGTAGAAGTTACCATCTACCCCGAATCGGTTTGTTGTTTCACGCAATATTCCAGCTATGGCGGCGTCAAAATCAGTCCAAAGTCTCATCATGTTTCAAAGTTGGACAGTTTGGATGGAGGGTTGTACTCAGGCACGGTATGTAAAGAAACAATGCTGAGTAGGCGGTGTCGAATGGACTCTGTGCTGTTATCGCCTGTCCCTCTTACAACCGGAGTGACACGTTTAGTTAGTCTGTAACAGCTTCTTGCTTGTGACATTAATAACGACACGAGTAGACTTGGAGTAACTCTCACATGTATCACACCCGGTTAAGTACACTGTGCAAATGTTTATAATAGGGGGCAGCTCACAACCATTTACTCGCTGACTTGGCTGATGCATGTCATCGTTTCCCAATTGCGTAGATCGATGCTCATGATGTCAATCACTGGAGCATCTGGTCCAGATTGGATTATACTCCCTCAGCTGGGATATGTTTTAGTATGGCATTTAACATCAAACAAACAAACACGACCGTTTATGATCAGGAATCGATTATCTGAGGCAACTCGGGGCGGTGGCGTAGTCTAGTGGTTAAAGCGTTGGCTCGTCACGCCGAAGACCCGGGTTCGAATCCCCACATGGGTACAATGTGTGAAGCCCATTTCTGGTGTCCCCCGCCGTGATATTGCTGGAATATTGCTAAAAGCGGCGTAAAACCAAACTCAGTCAGTCAGTCAGTCTGAGGCAACTCAAGGGCTTCAGATCAGTGAGGTGCATTTCAAGAACGCCAGAGGTTATAAGGTTAATAAAAAATGGTATACATAACATGTCCAAGTCGCTTTTATACTTCCTTTCAAAAATTTTGACTCAGGCAGCTGTTCTTAACAAAATGCAACTGTTCTAAACTAAATTTTGCATATGTAGTCGTATTGACAGAAGCTCAAAGAGTATGCGTCACCTGTGTACGTGGACAATCCGAAAGTGTTCATGTAGACGTGATGATCGAATAGATTATCATGGTGCAAAAGTAATGACGAGAGCTTAATCTTAATATGATATAAAATAAGTACCCACTGAAGAATACGCTTCCGGTAAAACTGATTTCCGCCCTATACACAAAACAATGGAGTAACTGACGACCAAGTATAACCATCTGAAATGAAGAGGGACCATTATTTCGTACATGGTATTTTGCGATGTTTGCGCTAGACTAGATGGGAACTAATAAAGTGTGGATTTGAAACAGATCAAGTAAACCTCATAATGCATCGGTTAGAGTATGAGGCCGCTTAATTGTCTTGACATTGACCAAAGACTTTTTGGAAACTTGGTATTGAAGTTCAAAATTATTTAACCTGGAAAATGTCCAAATGCCATATGTAAATCATTGTGCGTAGTTTTGATACCGTCCCTGTAAACTCCTGTCCATACCTGAGAACGTGTCACAGGGATGTCAGGGCAGGCGTCGAGACGTAGGGGGGAATATTGTCCACACATCCAAGTGTATATTCCCACATGTCAACCCCAGGTGGGGAATCTCCGCACACACTTGACGATATACTGCTGGTAATTGTCGGATAAAGTCCATTGTGCCCTTCGCTGGTGACACGGGCAACCGTAACGTCACCTTTGTCACGGCGCTGTAGGAGACCAATAGCGCCACCGCACTTGAGGACTGTGAGAAATTGTCTTCAGGTTTCAGATAGGTCCTCCGCTAACATTTCCACGGTTTACTATGAAAGCTTTGTTGGCCATCATTGGACTCGTGATTACTTGTTAAAATACAAAAATAGGCCTTTGAATTCACACCCCTTTTGTACTTCAAGGAAAGGAAAAAATAGGTTTAAAAAATTCAATTTTGATCCAAAATGCCGTTGTCCAATATGTTTTCCTGTTAAGACATAAACGTAATATAATTTTATATATTTGAGTTTTTTTATCACAAAAAAATACTAATAGATTAATTGATTGATAATAATACTAATACTGATGAAATAAAGACGAACTTTTAATACAAACGTGTACGTAGGTATGTATGTGTTACCTCTGTATCAGACTTTGTTTTGGAGAGATTTAAAAATAATATGATTTTATCTTATTTTCAGGATTCATTATCATTTCATTATTCATTCTGCGTGTTCTCTAATCAGAACGTGAATATCATATATGTGTACACAAAACCCGGGCATGACATGTGCAAAGTATAGTTCGTTATATCAAGTATCAACACTCCGGGGCCCAATTCCACAAACCGACCTCTATCTTAAGGTATGGTTATAGTCGGTTTGCAGTGAAAACGTACCGATGAATTTCACTTTAAACAAGAAAGTAAATCGAATAAAGTGAAATTAAGATTGCGAATTCTCATAATTTTATCTTGCCAACTGAACATTTAAATATCAGAATTTTATTAAACTTAGGATTAAAGTTGTTTAACAAACGATCATAGTTTCAAATCGTTATAATTGGTTTGTATAACAAGGGTGTATGCAGTGTATATGCACATTAAATGAAACACCGAGAACAAGTATGTTTAAATCACAAGTAGGGTTGGTCTAAGTTAACGTTCATCACGTACGGCACGTGCATTTGTTTCAGTGTTCCAACTACTGCGCTTACCCCCTGGTAATACAAACCAATAATAGCGATTTGAATCTATGATCGTTTGTTAAACAACTTTTATCCTAAGATGAATGAAATTCTGAGATTGGCAAGATAAAATTATGAGGATTAGCAATCTTAATTTCACTTTATTTGATTTACTTTCTTGTTTAAAGTGAAATTCATCTGTACGTTTTCACGGCACACAGCTTCAAAGAGATTGGGCTGCTCAACGTCACCCAACGTCTCATTCCACGGTGACCTAAGCGATGTGACTGGTTTTGTTAAGGAATGGGAATTGTGGTGTCTTTAAGCTAACATCGCTTTGTGGAACTGGGCAGTCGAGATCAGAGGACATTGGAAAATACGTGTCTTCGATTGTAATGTTATATCGTAAAAACATATATTCTGTTTGAATAGAACTGATAGGAAGAAATCTTTGCACATGCCTTGTCGGGGTAGCCATCACATCAGCATGGCGTCAATGGTAGTATTGTCATCAAGAGACCGGGAGACCTTCATTGAGAAGAAATGCTTTAATTGTTTCATTCAACCACATAGTGCGACAGCTTCCTCATTACAATTCGAGACCACTTTATCTAACGATAAAGAGGTCACGAATGTCGAAGTTGTTACAACGTGCAGAATGCAAAAAAGATAATTAACGAATTTGCAACATTAATCTGATATGAGAAATTAAATCAACGTTTTGATATCTTACAATGCGATGTGTCTCCTTGCCTGTTGAACGTTAATGGCCTTTTTCAGACGCCGATACCAGTTATTGTAGATTCTAGCTGGACAACAGCATCTTAGCAATGCCGAGCTTTGACACTATTTGTGCCTCCTATTATGACGGAATGAATGAGTGTGGCTCCATGGCTTTCAATGTTTATCATTTCAGCCTGCATTGGTACTCAATGTAAAAACGATGGGAGTTCTTCAGGTGGTTTCATAGGTAAATTTCTTGTGATTGTGGCCTCTCTAACAAGCATCGTCGGTCGTAGTAGTTAGGTTCACTGCATCTTCTTAGAGAATACATTGCCTCAGCCATGTTAGGACATAACCTTGTGTAAGGAAGAGGATTGGAGTAAGACAAAGGTAGCATGCATCTAAGGTTATGCTGTGTTCACGTGCGCATCTTGTATCGCATTGTACACTTACGTTGACATGGGGCGGTCAGTTCCCCACATGGATACAATGTGTGAACGGCATCCCTTCATTACAAGATCCTGATCAAGTACAAACATCCATGTGAGTGAATTTAGTTTTACGCCGCATTTAGCAATAATCTAGCAATACCACGGCGGGGGATGGGCTACGTGGCCATCAATATACACTGACAACAAGGATATGTACTAGAATTTATGGCTCTGACTGTGATTGAGATGTGTTGTGTCAATTTACATTTTTTTTTTTTTTGCGTTGGGATTTTACTTACCCAGATGCATCTTTGTTGCACAGATGTTCATATTGAACATTGACCGTCCGCCTCGGAGTAATGACCCAATTAGTGACGTGAAAGAATGCCTGCCATGGTACCCCAACGACCTTGGTCATTGCCAATCTGGTCTGCCTGTCTCGGACGATGAACACGTAAAGGCTGTTGTGATATGACTGGAATGTGCAAATGTGATATGGGTTGAAAATATGAACTCTCTTGCAACATTTCATTACACGTGTAGCTTGGTATACAGAACGTATTCATACATCACTTGATTTAGTGATATTTGTGATTAATGGTGTTAAAACATCACCTGTACCAAGTATCTCCCACGTGCATGAGTAGTATCATTAAGACGGTTGATTCCATGGCTTTGTACTTCAAGAAGGTGTACTGAACTGATAGGAGAATAACCTTGTTTGACCTAAGTTTGATTCGTAACCCTGTTTGATTTGTGTTGTTCTTTCACCTACACCATAATTTGATAATTCTTCCAACTTTCTTTGTTTTAGCCACCCTATCCTAACACATTTAGTCACAAACAATGTCGCACCCAACTTGACGCCCCACCTTCCTCACGTATTATGCTCTCAGTTTGTTTTGAGCATGTACTTAGATTTCACCTTCATTGTATAAGTCTCGTCATGTATTGGATATTTATTCGGATTCAACGGGTCAACATCCTCTATTATCAAGGGTATTTTCGTCCATCCTATTGTAATAAATACCCTGACACCCATTTGCTGCTGTGTCTTATTTTGAGCTTAAAATTATGTGGCGCTCAGAAAGCATCCGATCTATACCGGGGAGAGATATTCTGTGCAAAGTTTGCTGTGTGAGATTGCGGCAGTGATGTACATCGGAAATTCAGCTTTAGTGGCAAATATGTTCAGGGTATTTATCAAAATAGAATGGAGGTAAAAGAGTCCTATGGCTGGCGGAGAGTTGACACATCAAGTCCCATTAGTAGGGATGGTAGGAACTAACTCAGAGTTTTCTGTCAACATTTCTGTTTTTGGTGCTCAGGATAACCACAGTTTACCACGGACACTTAGTTTGGTTTTCTACAGTAGGTTTGTGTTAATTGGTGTTATGGTTATTTGTTTTAGAAATTTGAGGGAAAAAAATATGAAGGATTGAATAATTAATGAGAGCAGCCCTGCCTTGCCCTGGGGAATCACTTAAATGTTTCAAGGGTCAACTGTGTGTGCCAGAGGAAGGAATTCTATCTTTTGTGTCAAAATGTGATATCTTTTACAGCGACCTATTCCTAATGAGAAATAAATCCCCTACCCTCTCTATAACAACCGGGGTGTATACTAGCAAAATACCTCGTTTTAACAAATAGTTATTTTCTATTTAACTTGAATATGGCATGCTCTATTCCTCATTTCTCTCTCTCCGTAACTGTAGACATATTTATACAGGGCACATTCTGCATGATAGATTAGATCTGTTGTATTCGACTAAAACAAAAAATGACAGCGGTAGGTTCAACTTAAGCAAGGAAAGTGTCATGGTAAATTATATACGGGACAAAAGAATGTAAGGAATCATGAATATTTTTAGATACTTATAAGACATTGTTTGACTCTTTTAACTTATTCCGAAACCTATTCCCAAAAATATTCATGATCACTCACTTTTTTTGTCGGTTTACTTGTATAAGACGACTTCAGTGTTGTTACCCAGTTGAGAAGAACGTCCAAAGTTTGTACTCGTTAACAAGTGCCCGTCATGATGATCCCGGTCTGTGTTTTGCAAGAAAACGTTTGACATTGCATGTAACAGTGTCAAATGATCAAATGGTGCAGGTAGCCATTTGTCTTTTATTCAAATCACCAAGGTAACTGTGTCATTCTACAGAAATGGTTATATGCTTGTGTGTAGATGGCCTGCTCAAGGTGTTCTAGCGTAAGTTATGTTTTCCGTACTTTGACCGGAACAGTTCTTGTTTTACCAATGTCTCAGCCATATTTTGCTGATTTGAAAAAGGAAACACTTTTACCTCAACTTTAATGTGTCGAAAAAAATATATTAGTCTTATTAGTTTATTTATGTATGGATATAATTATTTCTTTTATTGACATAATTTATCATTGAACATATAAGACGAGTATATGGATGGCAACTTCTTTTTAATTGTGTAACACCTGAAGAAGGGGCAAGAAGCAGCCCAGAAACGTGTGTTATACAATAAGGAAGAAGCTGCCGTCCATATACTCGGCTTATATATTCACCAACTTCTAAATGCCTCTCAAGAATCTCAACCTTGAACATATTGGCAATGTTGGTCTGGAACATTTACAAAACAAGAAACTGAGTTGGTCTCTGTACTGGTCAATATGGTAAGTACATTTTCAATATGATACCACTTCATCATCACACGCACTGTATCACACACGTAATACCATTCAAATAACCCAGTGTATTAACCCCGCTGATACTCGACTTGACAAGGACTGGTAGACGTTGTAACGACACTGACTCTTAACGATGTCTGCAGTCATCTGACCACCACATGGACGGCATTTCAGAAGCAGGGAACGTCAGCTGTTTTTCGTGTTTCAGGTATCAATCTTGCTAAATTCTACGGGCGTTACAACGATAAATTGGTAGACGAACCGCCATAATTGCGCATAATGTAGTATTCAAAATATACGAAAGAACACGCGGTTTGTTTATGTGACAATAGTGATCGAAATGAGTCAGAGCCACGTGAAAGCAAAACATGATAATGATTTGGAGAAATAACATGGTTTCTTTAACTTTATATGTACAGAATTAGGCCACGCCTACTGCCCACAAACGGACTGCTGTTCCCTGATTGGGCCAGGCTTGTGCTGCATCATTGCTCCTAGGGTTGTATTCAGTATTCACATCGTTGTATTCAGTTTTCGTGTATTATAAGCAATCTGAGTATTATTATTGTCGATATAGTTTGATTAGAATTTACTTCAACATATTTCTTTGCGTTTGGGGAGGTATAAACATAAAAACCGCAGTGCACATCCAGCAGAATTCCGTTACGCTCGTATCAACGTGTGTACGTCCAGAAAGGCAAAAGGACATTCAAGTCAAAACTTATTAATGCATTCGAATATTGAAGAGGAGTTTGAATAGGTGTTGCTCTCACCAAACTCTATTTTCACAGGCCGCCTCGGTGTGGCTGGAATATTGCTGGTTGCAGCCGAAAACAGCAGTTCCCATCACATTTGGGGATGTACTTCAATTCTCAGTTTCCAGGTTATAACTATTGACTTCTCTAAAGTAAACGTTGCGCTTACGATGTTATTCGCTCATTATGAAATGTATATTTTTACTCAAGCTTGCAGAACTTTGACTGTGAGTAAAGGCTTTGAACTCAGGCTGTGGAAACAGCAAATAATAAAAAATCACAAATTCGACTGCACAACAGACTTTGATGACGATCAACTGGAGGATGCCCGACCTTACCGCGAGCTGACTTTCTGACTGGTTGTACAGACACCATCGTCTTTCACACATGCGCCATGAAGCGAGACTCTTTCACCTTGGTGTTGACAGCAATGCTATCTGTCATATATGCTGATTAAACCTTTTGTTGTTGGTCTTTCAGCTGATAATAACTGTACGGCCTGCAAACACCCAATGACATTCGAAGCCATCGTCGACAACAACTGTCGGTCCCAATTTGGTAAGGTCGTTTTACACCTTTTTTTCAATAGAATTCGTTATGCGTGGTATCAGATTTTCCCCGAGCTCTGTTGAGGTAGAATAGTGTGTAAAGTACCCAAAGCTTCAGGATTTTAATCTCCAGATTTATTTTAGCCACCTACGGCTTCAGTTTCGCACTTCGAAAACTTACACTCTTGTTCAGTCGCAGTAAATGTGAAGGATTTAACTACATAACGACGTCTATTGTCCCCCGTGGCAGACATAAAATATTTGCACCGGCCTGACTTAGTTATCCGATCGGTTATGAACCCGTCTGTGTTTATGCTGGTTTTTGTAAAGAAGCATAAACAGAAAGTGTGCTGACAGCTACCCTAATGACAATACCTTTCTTATTCCTTGGCATCATAATTGATTATCGATATATTTCAGGGGAAAAAACTGAAACGGGATACAACATCGTTTCACCTCATGTTACGTTAGGTGTATAAATAGTTGTTTAAACTGGATATTACCGTATGAATTCCAAACGGAATTTAACAAGGGTAAAAACCATGAAAAACCCAGCGTTGGTAGTGAACTGTGTGTTTGTTTAGGAGAGGAGTGTATGGCTTCGCTCACTGCATACGCCAGTGTTGCAGCGTGAAGGGAGAGTAATCCTTTTCCCTTCGTGCTTCCGTCATGGCGCTGTAGGCGCGGTGTTAGAATTCTGGCCGTGATTTATGCGAGAGTAACAGAAGAAAGACAACCTTGATAGCGTTTCCATTCCACCAGTCAACGCCTCACCCTATAAATTTATCTTAAATTCTCGTTCATTTTCTGTAAGAGGAAATAATAGCACTTATTTAGCTGAAGTAAGGGCTGACAACCTTCACTTTTTGGGGTCTAGTCACGGATTTCACAACAATCTTGTCTGATTACAAAGCAAGAACGATGATGGAATTACGCCGAAAAAGGTTCAGCGTCAGCTTTTTTACGTTGCGATGACGTCGGTGGGATAATAGTGGCAGCAAATGATATCGCCATTCGGCCATTTCTTTATGATGTCGTTAGCCTCTCCGATCACAAAATCGATCGAGATGTTCAACTGTTGACTAGTGCACAACTTGGACGTGAGTGAGTGAGGTTAGTTTTACGCCGCTTTTAGCAATATTCCAGGAATATCACGGCGGGGAGATACCAGAAATAGCATCACGCATTGTACCCATGTGGGGAATCGAACCAAGGTCTTCAGCGTGACGAGCAAACGCTTTAACCACTAGGCTACCCCACTGCCCCTCCTAGACATCAGCGTATAAAAGGGTGGATGGATATATTGTGTTCTGACATAAATTCCGTAACAGAAATAACTTCAGACACAGTCTTATCACGTTATGAATTCAGATTGTACTGTTTCTGCAGTAGAGCAGCCTAGTGGTTAAATACGTTTGATTCCCTATCGAAAAAATGGGTGAAGCTTATTTCCGTGTCCACCTCCGTTAAATTGCTAATGCCACTAGCGAACAAATACAGGTCACTCGTTACATGTCCGCCCTGGCCTGCTCTTACCATGGGCTGTGTAATCTGATATATTCTACTGTACACATGGTCTCTTGAAAATTCAGATAATTGTAAATACGTTGATTCATTAAGAATTATTGGGACACCCATATTTCACAACAAATGATATCTATCATCTTCTCACAATGGGCAGGAAATCTATATTGAAAACCAGATGGGCCTACCCCGCGTAACGTCGCATAATGAAAGAGGCTCACGTGGGGTGTTGACAACATTGTTGACACACACTTGTTTGCCGTAGATTTCATTCAAACGTCTTTGTTCGCAACTCGTTGCATAACTCGTTTCAAAGGGTGGCTTAGGTTTCCAATGATAGGGCTTAACAATGACGGGATAGTCCACTACATACCCCGATCTCCACACAATATTTAGTGAAACGTGAGCCATAATATTTGTGATGAATGTAAAGGAACGTGAATATATATTTCAGGCTATACATCAAGTGATGTCGACCTGGCTTAGCTATAATTCACAGCCATGAAACTCCTTTATTCTCCGTGAACATGAAATACTGTTACGACGTTCTCAAGGGCATCTCTATTGTTAAGATAATCCTCTCTGATATAACTCTTGATGCATCAATTAAAAGGAAAGATTCGTTTCGAAAGGGTCATTTCAGAACGTCTGAAATTTGTAAACTTCACGATTTGACAAGTATACAAAGTTTTGTTTCCCTGAGCCTTATATACCGTTTTATTCTATAGGAAAAAAAGGTTGAATAATTACTGAATGTCATTTTTAATCTTATTCGCATTCCAGATAATATGACACGTTTCACGACGACAGCTCGATCCTAAAGACTGTAATATATTTAATATGCTATTGGATTTTTATTATCCATATGTTGAAACATAACCAGTGTCATATATGTCATATGTGCACATGTGCACATACCACTTTTGCCTAGCAACCATTGTTTCTGTATTTCATCGTCTGTGGCGTCATTAAACAATTGAACGTGACGTCAACGAAGTGGGCCGTCACACTTGCTTACCGTGTTTTACTGCACAAATGTACATGAATACAATGGATAATAAAGAAATTATTACACTCGCAAGTGTGCCCCACGACTTATATACGAAACTCGCGCGGGCAATACAAAATTTCGCACTCATTTCGTATAAGTCGTATGACTCGCTTGTTCGTGTAATAATCTCTATAGGAGATTCCCATAGTTTCATCACGGAATACATCATACTAATTCTTTCAAACGAAATAACTGCTTACTGAATGTAATCTTTACACATACCTGTACTCTTCAGAGGAGTACGAATCTGTTGTACAGTTACGACGGTCGCGAGGTACGTGTTTGACACGTAGCACATCGATAGTTACTGGAAACCCGTCCTATCAGAGAGTGAATGAGAGAGTTGAGTTCAACGCCGCTTTAAACAGTATTCCACTAATATCACGTTGTGTCTGCTAATAGTGGGAGGAAATCCCGAAGTGTTGCAGGTTGTTTGCATTTACCACTTCGAAAACATTAGACAAGTAAGGGAACGATGCGGACAAACCTAGATACAGAATCAGGGCGAATCGGAATTCGAACTTACGATCACAGTTTCCTTTCGTGTCCAAGGGACGCAACTCTGCTCGGCGCAATGCAGCGCCATAGACTTGTGAGAGTGAGTGAGTTCAGTTTTACGCCGCTTTTAGCAATATTCCAGCAATATCACGGCGGGGGACACAGAAATGGGCTTCACACATTGTGCCCAAGTGGGGAATCGAACCCGGATCCTCGGGGTGACGAGCGAACGCCTTAACCACTAGGCTACCCCACCGCCCCAGACTTGTGTGAGAAAGAATTGATCATTGTTCAGCCATGGGTTCATAGTCCTATTTTCCTGTTTCAGTTATTCGGACAGGTGTCGCCGAACTTCAGAAGAGGGATGCCGACGCAATCGTGGTTCTGAAGAAAAAGAAAAAGTTTTACAAGAAAGAAGAACCCCTATCAAAGAAGGATAAGAAGAATATGGCCTTCGTGATCGAAGGGGGAGCAAGCTGTCAGTGCGACCTTCTCAATGACACCAGAAGCAAATTTCTGATAATGGGAAACAGGAAGGATAATAAATTTGTCATGTCATTCGTCGTCCCATGGGAGAAGAAAAATAAGGATTTCAAGAAGGCGCTTAAGAAGATAAAGAAGGGGCACGAGTGTAAGGACCTTTTCAACAGCGAGGTCATCGGCTTGACAACAATGCCCTCAACTGATCATGCCCAGGGTGGCAGACAGAAATCGAAAGGCAAAAAGAAGGGAGGTAAGCGTAAGAAGGGAAAGAAAGGAAGGAAGGGAAAGAGAAAAGGAAAGAAGGACAAGAAAAAGGGGAAAAAATCAAAAGGTAAGAAGCGGAGACCAAAGAAGGATCGCAAGAGGAAATCGGGCTCAGCAACCACACCATCCCCCTAGGAGCCAGATTGAGGACATATGGCAGGGACTTTCATTTCAAATACTCCATGAGATGTACCATATTTACATTCTCGCATCCTGCGAAGGGCATCTGACAATGCATGCTGTTTTCAGCAGACTGTGTTTCCAGGACAACTCTTACTGACAAAAGGTTCGTCGTCATCTGCCGGTCTCCATAGTTAGGCGTATGTATTGGTAGATACAATCGGGCGTCTGTTTCCACTTGGACTTCGTCTCGTGCTAAACTCATTGGATACAATCCTTGTTGTATTACTTTCAATAGAGCTAGACACATTTGTACGCATGCGCCAAGCGCAATAGTCATGAAGTTTGGGTCTCGGTTTCTCGCTAATTTGGGGCAGATTTCGGATAAGACAGAATTGTCCACCTCCGCGTGTTAAACGCAGTTGTCCGGCTGACAGCATCAGCAGAACTATTTAAAACTACGATTATCAAAATACCGAAGACATTGGATGATATGTAACGTATGTTAATTCTACATATACGTATTCTAATCCACCAATCGGAGACTCCCACGTGTTTTGTGTATTTCTGTAGACTATTTGGTTGGTGTCACCCTGCATACAAACATACCGCGTTATAAGACGGGTGCCATTATCAAGCGTGTATTTACCTATTTCCTCGTATCCTATGTTTATAAATATATTCGTTCACGACATTGATCAAGTAAACCAAAGATGCTATGTTGTGCTTGTAGGATAGGGAGCTGTTGAATGCCCCGATCTGGTATTGGCTCTATCTAGTGTTCCTCGTTATTGAGAACGTATACCAAGACGTTGTACATATGTTGCAGTAAAGGCTGGTTGCATGCATGTATTGTACAAAGCTGATGTAGTCCATGTTTATCACAGGAACGTGTACTGTGGATTCAGAACGGTCATTATATATGATGTTCTTTCCCCATGGTGACCATTTTATAAAACCGGATGTACATAACAAATATCGATGACAGTGCTAGCAAGGGGTACTCTGGCTGTGTAAACCAGACCCAAAGATGCACAATTCTTGGAAATTCATCGGAATAGACGTTTTCCTGATGAACAGTTGTGTGCAAATGTTATTGTAATGACGTGGTGAAATTGGATTCTGATAGCGAGACCTGTCTGGACATGCTCACGTGTGATCCAGCGAGTTAGTTTCAGTATGTACTTGTTATGTGTTATGCTACTCTAAATTTGTTGATATCGCTTTTGTAAAAAACTGGACTCTTTGACTGTCTGTCCTTAGCTATTTTATTGTCACATCAAATGATCTTTTGGAATCCATTAACCCATGTGAAATAACTGGTCAAAGATTAACATATAAAACTCTCAACCCTTATCCTGGCTTTTGTACTTTTTACAAACCATGGCCTAGATTTTCGAAGCTCTCTTAGCGCTAAGATAGTCGTAAGTGCCATACATTAACATTAACTTACGACTATCTTAGCGCTAAGAGAGCTTCGAAAACCTAGGCCCATGACGTATTAATATCACTCCGGTAAACTCAACGATGGATCTGGTCGTAAATGACCAATAGTATTGCATTCTGTGAGTAATAGAAGCATTACTGAAGTTAGGAATTGATAATATGCTGTGGATATTGTTTTGAGTGAGTGAGTTTAGTTCGACTTTAAGAACCCATGAAGATCCGGGTTAGAATGGACCTTCAGTAACCCATGCTTGTCGTAAGAGGCGACTAACGGGATCGGGTGGTCTGGCTCGCTGGCTTGGTTGACACATGTCATCGGTTCCCAATTGCGCAGGTCGATGCTCATGCTGTTGATCACTGGATTGTCTGGTCCAGACTCGATTATTTACAGACCGCCGCCATATAGCTGGAATATTGCTGAGTGCGGCGTAAAACTAAACTCACTCACTCACTGTGTGTAAAAGAAGCATTTTTTACTGAAGTTAGGAATTGATAATATGCTGTGGGTATTGTTTTGAGTGAGTGAGTTTAGTTTACGCAGCTTTCAGCAATGTTCCAGCGGGGGATACCAGAAATGGATTCATACATTGTACCATGTGGGGAATCGAACCCGGGCATTCAGGGTGACGAGCGAACGCTTAAATTTTTATGAAATAGTCCGGTCAGTCTTCACTACAAAATATACATAATATTCATCGTGGTTTTCAGTTCCTATGACATGATACATTTTGAATGACAAAACAACAGTCATGTTAATCTATGAGTAACGGAAATTATGTACATGTGAGGTGAGGACAAAGGCAAACAAAACGAATCGAAGCAGTTTTATAATCTACGCGACTGCCAGCAAGTTAAGTTTTGTTTGTTTGTTGTTTTACGCCGCATTTAGCAATATTCCATCAATACGGCGGCGGTCTGTAAATAATTAAATCTGGATCAGACAATCCAGTGATCACCATCATGAGCATCGATCAACGCAATTGGGATACGATGACCTGTGTCAACCAAGTCAGCGAGCCTGACCACCCGATCCTGTTAGTTGCCTCTTACAACAAGCGCGGGTTGCTGAAGAACAATTCTAACCCGGATCTCCACGGGTCGCAGGTTATGCAATATACGAAACTAGTAAGGATGGCTTGGGTCCGTTTGGACTGAATGGAGAATGATCGTTACACCTATGTGCTATTCTTGCCATGGTGTTACAGATTGTAGCTGGATATTGATCATGATCAACTATCTATTGCCTTGTAAGGTGTCACATTTCAAATTCAAAGTACAAGTTACAATACGAACGACTAAATCAATTTTATAATCATAAATCTCTGCTGAAAGCTCAAACCATTGTACAGTTCCAACTATGTTCATGTATCACTATCAAGTGTGTAATATCAGGTGAGCGCATCCTACCCCATCAGTGATTCCCGTCACAAATACACGCAAAGGCATGTCAAGTGTACAAGTAAAGACGTCAACATACGGTACAAGTCAAAATGTCTTGGTACCAAAATGAGGAATTGTTTTGGTCACATGATTCACAACTGGAAGTCTTACTTTACTAGTTGGTTGGTCCCACCAAACAGCTCTCGATCCAGTATCGCATGTTGCTATTCATAGGAAACGTATGTACCCACAAGACTGCCATGTAGACACCATGGTTAGAACTGCTGGAATACTGCACTACATGGAGGGACAGTTGAAAATGAGTGAGCTAGTCAAGCAGTGAGCTAGTCTGCACATATTTAGCAATATTCCAGCAATATCACGACGGGGGACACAATAAATGGCCTCACACATTGTATCCATGTGGGGAATCGAACCCGGACCTCTTGTCATACAGCATAGTGGATAGTTGGGTTTTTTATATCTTAAATATTTATTCGTAGATTTAAGCAAGAAATGTAAAGTTCAGCTGACTCTGATAAGATGTTACATCCGTCACAAGACCGGTTACATCGGTGAATCATAAACTGCCACCATTGGCAAGTGTCCCACATGACCGCGTCATACCAAAAGATGTTAAAATATGGTACTTGTTGGTCCCTGCCTGGCGCTCGGCATTAATGGGTACAACAAGGACTGGTCGGCTCGGAGTCAGTATAATGTGTCTGAGTGGGGTATTCATGCTTCACTGCGGCATGGTATCTCAGTGGGCTAGCACTATAAAACCAGCTTAAGTCTGGGCTAGTACAAGCAGCCCCACATACACATACACATGCATGCACGTCGTCATATGAGCGAAATATTCTCAAGTACGACGTAAAACCCAATTTCACCTCACTCACCCCACATGACGATACACACACTGGGCGGTGGGGAAGCCGAGTTCGTCTCCACATAGGTACACTGCGTGAAGCCCATTTCTGCTGTTCCCCGCCGTGATATTGATGGAGTATTGCTAAAAAGCGGTGTAAGAGCAGACTAACTGATTTGCGCACACACACGCACACAAGAGCACACATGCACAAGAAACATCTCGACCTGCAAAACCAGAAGACTGTTGTGTGTGCCATGGGCATCGTGATGAAAACCCTATTCATATGACTAAGTACCACGGTGTTTGCTGCAGATACCAGCATCTGCTCAATCTGTGTTGTTGATCCATATTGGAAATGGTGTCCATTTATGGCGTCTGCCGTCGTGATTGCTGAACAATGGCTAAATACGGCGTAAATCCATACTCACTCAGTAAATTAATATTGATCGTCTCGATAGAAAACCACATTCTATTTTAATCGAAAGTGAAGAGTTGGAATTTCAAATCGAAAACGATGGTAAATGAACAAATGAAGGCAACAGACCCCATCCGCACCCGAGACAGCGTCTCGAAGATCTGCTGATAGTCTAAGATCATACGTATTTGATCGCAATCCACGAACTAATATGTAATTAACGTCCCAAGATTCACGAGGGAACGGTATGCAACCCTTTAGCACTGTTAAAGAACGAATAAACTTTGGTTTTTTTTACACTTTTAACCATTACATATGAACTACTTGTGGTTAGTGTTCAGCGGAACACCAACTTCATCCTTAAAAAACATGTGGTTACCGAGCGATTAAAAGACGTCTGCTTCACTCTCGCCCGCCAACGAAACCACAGAGAGGTTACGTAACTCTGTCGCCAGAGCACTGCAGCGAACTGGAAGTGACGTTATGTGAGGAAGGATTTTCAGTCAGTTGTATATAAAGTGTGTAATAAGTTCGTCATTTTGCTGATTCTCGACGTTTTCATCGAGTAAAAAAATCAAAACTACTTACCAGTTGTAGTAAATTATGTATATGATTGATGACCAAAAGGATTTTGCATGACACAACTTGTTGTGGTCGAAGTGAGAATAATATTGTAAGCAGTATTTTATTGACACTCACCTCGCTTCCAAGAGAGAAATTGTTATGTTATAAGCTATGTCATGCAAAATCCTATTGGCCATCAATCAAATACATATTTTACTACCAGTAGAAAGTAGTTTTGATTTTGTAACTCGGTGAAAACAAACCTAAATAGCATTTATTCTCAGACTGTCGGATGTTTAACGAGCAGGAGGGTAGCCTAGCGGCAGAGGTGTTCACTAAGACCCGGTCCTATTCCTTACGTTGACAGAATGAAATCTGTTTATTGTTTCCCCCGCCTATCGTTGAACTAACTGATGCAAAACATCCTCATTCGTTTCAATTACGGGGTTACCTTTAATGTACGAGGGAAGTCAAACCCGAGTCAGCGTTGGCTGGTTTGGCGTAATTCAATAGCACGGGAATCGGACCAAATCGAAACCCAACCTTCCCCAAGCAGAAGGCCTCAGACCACAATTATTTTCCTTCTTTGCTATCTACAGTGACATGCCAGTCCACCATAATTAATATCGGCCATAGGCTGTTCTCCTGTTGCATGCTGACCAACCTGCCACGTGTCACTTAACCGGCAAAATATCTGCCTGGATCGACCATGTCAATTTTGCTGTATCCACTGTCAACAATGTCAATGGTCACCGGAAGTTTCGAGCTAAAACACACTAAAGAGCCTTGAACTTGGGTCAAATCATGGATATCAATGCCATGTGCAGATTGTGGACCAAAAAATAATTGAAATAAAGTACAATGTCTTACCTTTCATTTAAGCTATCACAAGTCACCCTGAAAACATTAGCACAGACAGAACAGCCTGTTTAAACAGCGCACTATATTCTCCTATTTTCCTTCCGGCCAGAATCATTCATCTGTAAGGGAGGTAACTCCGAACAGAGTTTAGCATCTTTAGGACATACACGCCCAAGGTAATTGAAATAAACGGTTTAAATAAAGGATTATATGATTTCTGACTATGCACAAATGTGCACACATACAGAAAATATGAATGATTAAAGGTAAGCTGTTTAAATGAAGGGTCTCGAAACATGGCATCTTGACCACGCCGACCTGTCCCTTGGTGTCGTAAGCTGCTGCCACTGCAGTATATTCGTTTCATCAGTTAGAGCGATTATCATGGGCGCTACCGTCTGCATGTTAAGGCCAGGTACTCACTCGACAAGTTAAACGGCATTGTTAATTAGAATGTACGTGTTGGTGCTAACGGTATTACGCTGTCACTATGTTCAACATGGGGATCTATCTTTGTTAAGGAAGGATAAGGGTGTAATATGCATCTGTCAAGACGGTGTTAAATACAATACAGTGCTAGGCAATTAAAGGGGCCTCTCCAGCTCTGGTTTTTAAAAAAATAGCCTTCACAGTTAAGGTGTATATAGTTCAACGTTTACCACGCGTGGAAATTCTTATGTCAAGCAGGATGATGGTCTGGTTTGATTGCCCCAACGTATGCAATGTGAAGTCCTTTTCTGGCGCCCCCCGCAGTAGCGTTGTCGGAATGTTGCAAGTGTGTGAATTTAGTTTAACGCCGCTTTTAGCAATATTCCA